CTCCTGCCTTCTTTGTCATTCATTAGGGAACAGACCATAAGTGCATGGATTTACTTCTGGGCTTTCTACCCTGTTCCATTGATCTATGTGTCTGTTTTTGTGCCCGTGCCATACTGTTTTGATTACTGTAGCTTTGCAGTATAGCCTGAAGCCAGGGAGCTTGATTCCTCCAGCTCTGTTCTTTCTCAAGATTGTTTTGGCTATTTGTGATCTTTTGTGTTTCCAAACAAATTTTAACATTTTTTTGCTTCAGTTCTGTGAAAAATGCCATTGGTAATTTGATAGGAATTACACTGAATCTGTATATTGCCTTGAGTAGTATGGCCATTTTCACAGTATTGATTCTTCCAATCCAAGAACACTGTGTATCTTTCCATCTGTCTGTGTTATCTTCAGTTGTTTTCATCAGTGTCTCACAGTTTTCACAGCACAGGTCACCACTTCTATTCAGCATAGTACTGGAAGTTCCAGCCAGATCAATTAAATGAGAAAAAGAGAGAAAAGGCATCCTAGGTGGAAGTGAAGAAGTGACACTACCTCTGCTGACAGACGATGTGGTTGTGTATGCAGGAAACTTACAGACCCCACGAGAAAGGGAGCGGATACATGAGTTCAAAGTCAGCACACGAAAATCGGTTGCTTTTCTACATTAACAATGAACAATCCAAAAAGGAAATTAAGAAAACCATTCCATTTACAATAGCATCAAAAAATACTTAGGAATAACTTAACTATGGAGATGAATGAATTATACTATGAAAACTTCAAAACACTGCTGTAAGAAATTAAAGAGGTAAACTAATGGAAACACATTCCATATTCACAGATGGTTAAGACTTCACATTTTAAGATGTTAGTATTACCCAGAGTGATCTGCAAATTTAATGCAATCTCTAGCAAAATTCCAAAGATAATGTTTGCAGAAATAGAAAACCCACTCTAAAATTCATATGAAATCTTAAGGGACCCTAAATAGCCAAAACAATCTTAAAAAAAGAACTAGAATGCTGAAGAACTCACCCCTTGACTTCAAATCTTACTATAAAGCTGCAGTAATCAAACAGTGTGGTTCTGGATAAAGACAGACATATAGACTAATGGAATAAAATAGAATAGACAGCCCAGAAATAAACCCTTACATATATAGTCAAATGATTTTTGACAAGGGTGCTAAGACCATTCAATAGGGAAAAGACTGCCTTTTCAATAAATGGTACTGGGAAAACTGTATACACACATGCAAAAGAATGAAGTCAGACCTTTACCTGACACCACATGCAAAACTTAAATCAAGATGGATCAAAGATCTAAAGGGAGAACTAAAATTATAAAACTCTTAGATGAAAACCTTAGGCAAAAGCTCCGTGACATTGGATTTGGCAATGATTTCTTGCATATGATACCAAAGCCACAGGCAACAAAAGAAAAAATAGACAAATTATACTTTATGAAAATTTTAAAATTTTGTGTATCAAAAGACAATATCAATAGAATAAAAAACTCACAGAATGGAAGTATTTGCAAGTCATATATTTGATAAGGGATTACTATCCAGAATATTTAGTGGACTCCTATAGCTTAACAACAAAGGACAACCAGATTCAAAAATGGGCAAAGGACCTGAATGGACATCTCTCAAAAAAGGCTACCTATACACAAGACCAACAAGTACGTGAAAAGTAGCCCGGAGCACAGATTGCTGGGGCGATGCAAATCAAGCCCACAGGGAGATCCCACCTCTCACCCATCAGGACGGCTACTATAACAAATAGTAAGTGTTGGCAGTAACGTAGAAAATTGGAAACCTTGTGTGCTGTTCTGGGAACGTAAAATGGTACATACAGCCACTGAAGGAAACAGGACGGCATTTCCTCAGAAAATTAAAAGAATGACCCTGTGATTCAGCAGTTCCACTTCTGGGTGTATGCCTTAAAGAACCGGAAATCGGGATCTCGAAGAGAGACTTGTACATCCATGTTCATGATCACTCACAACAGCTAAAACATGAAAGCAACCCGAATGTACTTCGGTGAATGGAAATGCAAAATGTGGTTTATTCCTACAATGGAATATTACTCAGCTTTAAAAAGGAAGGAAATTCCGGCACATGCTACAGTATGAATAAACCTTGAGGACATTATGAAATAAGCAGTCACATAAGGACAAATTTTTTTATGATTCCACTTACATGAGACACTTAGTCAAAATCATAAAGATAGGAAGTAGGCTGGTGATGGCAGGGGCTGGGGAAAAGGGGGAACAGGGCGTTATTGTTTAACGGGTATGGTTTCAGTTTTACAAGATGAAAAGTTCTGGAAATAGATGGTGGTGATGGTAGCACAACTTCGTGAATCTAATACCACTGAACTGTATGCTAAAAGTGGCTAAGTGGTAATTTTTGCTTTTTATGTTTTAGTACAATTTTAAAAATGGAAAAATTTTAATGAAATTGATGATCATGGTCAAAAATATATATTTAGGTTTGCAATACTTCTATAATTTCAAAAAATTAAGGAAACAAGTTTAAGTATTTGTGAATTTGCACTTCAGAAAGTCAGCTCAGTCTGCGTGTTTTGTTGGTTGTTTTTAAGAGGACACTAAAAATACAGTGGCAGACTGGAATTTCCTACTTGTCTAACGCATAATTTGTCATTCTTTTCACAGATGTACTTAGGAATTTGGGATAACCTACCAGGTGTTGTGAAATGTCAAATGGAACAAAAACTTCATCTTGATTTTGGAACTGAATTGGAACCCAGAAAAGAAATAGTGTTATTTGATAAGCCAACCAGGGGAACTACTGTACAGAAATTCAAAGAAATGGTCTACAGCCTCTTTAAAGTGAGTACTTACGGGATGCAAAGGAGGCTATAGCTCCGTGTGGCGCCACCAGGTCCTGGGTTTCATCCCCGGCACCTCCATTAAACAAACAAACAAACAAATCTATGCCCTCTCTGCAAAAAAAAAAAAACAAAGTCCGCGCTTTTCACAGCTTGCTGGTGTGAAGTGGGTCGTCTGGAAGGGTCGCAGGGCCTCCGTCCCAGGCCATACAAATGCTGTGCTCTGACCTCTATCAGGGACTCAAGCTTGAGCAAATAAATCAAAGAAAAAGTACATGGAGGAGGTTTAACATGATTTATTATAGTTAAAAATGTCCAAGTGAGACATTTTGGCAGCTCACCAAGCAGACGGGCTGCCCCCAGCTGGACACGGTAACTGACTCTCCTTTTTGCGAAGGCGAGGTCAAGCTGCTGGTCCCTAACTGCACAGCATTTAAAGAAATTCTCAAGGAAGAAATAAAACTATTAGAAGGTGTAAGTACTCTTGGGAAGTCTTTTTCTCATTTTTATTGCTCTTGTGTTTTCACTCAAAACCTCCTTTCTCTGGACCATTTATGCTGGAGACTTTTATGTCAGAGAAACTTCACAGGCACATACTTTTTAATCTTCATTACTGGAACAATACAACCTGAAAAGTAACTTGTTAACAATTACAAACTAGGAGAAAATAACTTGTAGTTGACCCTTGTAGCTTTGGATACGGGCCAGTTACACTGCAATTTTGTAAGCACATGAATAAAGCAGAATAATGACTTGGCTGACTGTACTTACCTACAGGATCTGCGGAGGCTACAGGAGTTAGGGTGCCCCCCCCTTCCAATGTAGGTACTAGGGAATGGACCTCAAGCCCTCCCAGGGGTGGCCACCCCTTAACAAATAAACTTAGCAAAGTAGGCTTTACCCCCAGCACGTAAGACATAGTCCTGACTCACTTAGTTTGGCATCATAAATGTTTAGCGACGTACTACATTTCTTACGGGCACTCAGTAGCAAGATTACTGCTCAGCAGGGTAATGATCCCTGTCGTCAGCCAGTGTGCATGTTACCCGTGAGGTACTTGTTTTTCATTCCTTAATTAGCCATTCTTTTCTTTACAGGCCAAGTTAGGGGACCAAGGTAACCTCTCTGAACTGGTTAATCTCATCTTGACAGTGGCTGATGGAGACAAAGATGGCCAGGTTTCCTTGGGAGAAGCAAAGTCAGCATGGGCACTTCTTCAATTAAATGAATTTCTCCTTATGGTGATACTTCAAGATAAAGAACACACCCCCAAACTGATGGGATTCTGCGGTGATCTCTATGTGACGGAAAGTGTTGAATATACCTCTCTCTATGGACTAAGCCTTCCGTGGGTCATAGAGCTTTTCATTCCATCGGGGTTCAGAAGAAGCATGGATCAGCTGTTCACACCGTCATGGCCCAGGAAGGCTAAAATAGCCATCGGACTTCTAGAATTCGTGGAAGACGTCTTCCACGGCCCCTACGGGAACTTCCTCATGTGTGACACCAGTGCCAGAACCCTAGGATATAACAGTAGGTACGATTTGAAAATGCTGGACATGAGGAAAATTGTGCCAGAGACAAACCTGAAAGAACTCATCAAGGACCGTCACTGTGAGTCTGACCTGGACTGTGTCTACGGCACAGATTGTCGAACTAGCTGTGATCAGAGTACAATGAAGTGTACTTCAGAAGTCATACAACCAAACTTGGCAAAAGCCTGTCAGTTGCTCAAAGACTACTTACTGCGTGGTGCTCCCAGCGAGATTCGTGAAGAACTAGAAAAGCAGCTGTATTCTTGCATTGCTCTCAAAGTCACAGCACACCAAATGGAAATGGAACATTCGTTGATACTAAATAACCTGAAAACATTACTGTGGAAGAAAATTTCCTACACAAATGACTCTTAGTTCATTTGGACATTGTGACCATTTTAAGAAACCGAGCCCTTCGAAGGAAAATCTTGAGCATTTTTTAAAACGGCTCCTGATTTAAATCCCTGCCAGTTACACAAAACTCCTTTCCCCAGGTCCTAAGAAGCCATCGTCTTGAAACACATGTTGACTACAGAAGTAACGGCTGGAGGTACAGAATCAAAAGATCCAAACATTTCATTCCTACCCTTTTAGAAGTCCTGGTACATTTCCTGCTAAATTCACTGTGTAACTATTTTGACTAATGACTTAAAATAATGCTGTGAAAAGCTTCATTCCATAAACATCAACAGTGAGCGTATTTTGTAGATTTTGTTAGCCAGAATACCAGTGCTGGAAACATTGTTTGCATCAAAGCTGCTGTTTAAAAAAGAAAATTTATACATAAATTTACTAATGTCTTAGCATGGTAAAGTTTGCACAGTAACAGAAATTAAGACTGCAAAAACAGGTAAATTAAAATTACTCCTTTATAAACAAATGTTGGGTTAATAGCATGGTTTCTTGTATTATACACATTTAACTCATTCAGACAAATTTTATGTGGCTTCAAAGTGTTGAATGGCTCTTACTGAGCCTCTTAGAATTTAACCCCATCAGGACGTGTCCTACTTGGCAGTTTATGTAACGGCCGGTCTGAGAGGCTGAACACAGACAAGCTTCCACCATCCTGGACTCGGGGGGGTCTCAGTGTCCAGCCAGCCAACTGTCCTTCAAAACGCTTCCCTTTAGGCCACTGACCCAATGCAGATCCACCCACCTTGAATTTGAGCTGAGAAAGTGGGACATTGAGAGCAGGGCTCTGAAATCATACAACTTGATAGTAATTTTCCATTTCAAACAGTACTTCCTATTGGCCAAAGGGCTATTTAAGAGGCATGTAAATTTATCCACCTAACAACACCTTTTCTCATATAAATGCCATATACAAGGATTAATATTTGCTCCTTTCATGTTTATTCAAATTTGGCATGTGCCTTGCAACAACTCCATAAACTGCAAACACCCCGTGAGAAAAAAACACAGTATTTTCTGCTTAAAGAGTTCACCGAGGTAAAGTGAATATATGTAAAATTACGACCTACACTGGACGACTTTCTCTCAAAAATTAAAACTATGGATTAACACCAGTTTTGCTCACTTTAAAGCTGTATACTTTGAAGGTACTTTCTCTTCCCGCTCATCTGTGGTTACAATAAATGAATGGGAGGAATGCTTCTAGTGGAACGTTTCTCTGCTGCTTGCCAGACTGTTTAAGAACTGCGCATCGTACAATTCAAGGGTAACTCCTGTCAGGAAGAACCGACGCCCAAGGAGCAGGTGGGAACTCTGAGTCACTATGCAAGACATTTGCCGAGAAAAGCTACATTTGTTTCTTGAAGGAAAATACTATTAATTTCAGGTATTTCTCAGTTTCATTAACAAGAGCTTAACACAAACGGTTGCTCGGTCAATAAGTTTATTACTGTCTTAAAATCTTCATAAAAAATTGTAGTTTGGTTCATTAACTCTCAGCAGCTCGTTCCTGAGCTCTAAGGAAGCTTGCCTTCTTCTGAGCTACCCGGTCCTTCTTCTGGGCAAGTGACATTTTGGGACGGTTCCACCTACAAAACAAAGTAAGAGAGAAAGGAATATAATTTTTTAAAACCATGGCTAAAGAGGTTTGAAAAACTTATAAAGACTTTGTAATAAGACGGAGGTCAAATAATCCAAGTTCCAACACATGTAGTTGTTTATGATCTTAATCTAACTTCCCCACCCCAACTGTCCTGTTACCACACAGAGCCAAGAACCAAATGAAGATGTCAGTGTAATGCTTAAACTCATTAACACTATTTACTACTCCAAAGATCAAACTGTGAAAAGACTAATAGAAAGTAATTATATTCCGTTAGCCTATTTAAAAACATAGTAACCGACAGTGACCATGTACTGGGACAGAACGGGCCCCTGGGTAGCTCCCGGGGCTAGTGCATTTCCGTCGCCACGGTTGCTTTAGCAAACCTGGTTCCCCTCGCCTCTGCAACATCATGCAGAGCCAGTGATCGAGTTTGCACGACTTCAGAGTCTGAATGAGATAAAACAAGAAGGAGCCCCTCCGATCTTCAAAATAACAGGAAGGCACGTACCTCTTCTTTTTAACCTCTCTCTTGGGCTTCTTCTCGTAGACCGGATCGGCCCGTATTGCAGCGTGCGCTTTCTTATACATCTCCTCCATCTGGAACAAAGCAAAGCGAACAGTACTTGGTTTCATTTCATGCGCCCTAAACAATGTAACATCCCGTATTCCACTACGTGCTCTATTTCGTCCTTCTAAGTGAGAATCTCAAAAGGAACTAAACTAGGTTAATGTTTATATCTGCACCTAATCCTTTCCCTAAGGAATTCCCTATTTTTACCATAGGCAATGTGCACGGTCACTTCGCAAAACTCACATCTTCCTCAAGAAAAATCTGCATGCATTTCTGAGTAATTCAGTTATACTTCCTGAGTCACTCAATTTTAGAGCAAACTGATTTCTGCAGAAACACATTTTACATTCACTTAAAACCGTCTGACCTGAATTCTTTCATTCAAGTGTGGATTTAAGATGTTAAGATGAAGAGTCTATGGACAAACAAGCAATTGCCAAACTGATCTGTTCTCCCACATTCCCCAAATCTCTATTTCCTGTTGACATCTAATAGGTCTTTTCAGAAGGTATCCCAGGACTGCACACCAGGGACCTCTTGACCTACCACAAATCGCTAGTATCTCAGCAGCACTATCGGGCCTCTGTAGAACCAGAAAGAAGCCTCAGTTCCCTGAAAACCCTGAAAGGCTATCCAATTAGATACATTAATGAGAATGTCATTCTGAAACTCAACAAAAAACAATATTGTAAACTGAATTGTCTCAATAACCCCTCCCCAAAATGACTATTGATCAAGTGGAAGATCAGGCAATGAAGAAAAACTGTAAAATGCACGAACTTCAGTAACAATTACAGCTCTCCTCAAGAATGAGTCAAAGCAATCCCGGGCTCTAGAATTTGACCGTTCAATATGGATAAAATGCTATTACTACATGCATCTGTATAAAGCACATTAGCAAAGGAAAATAATGCAAAAACTTTCACTGCCTTCGAGACCTCAAAATACCTAAATCCCTTATGAAAGTTTATTTCTCTACTTCTTTTAAGCTGTGACAGCTCTCCGCTGCACTTAGCAAATCCATCTGATGACTTCAAAGAGTCATTTAACACATCTAGGCCATCCAGCTCATTTCCTAAGAGATCAGTTGTGTAGGCAACACAACCAGGTATTTCAAGAGCACTGTGAGTTTAGGTAAACACCACTTCCTGCTGGAGACACCGGACGTCTGCAGGAGACTTCAGCAGGCATGCCTAAGCAAAGAGGTCTCCACAGACAGAATCAGTGATCTGGCTTAAGTACAGCACACACAGCAAAGCAGCAGGACAGACGCCTGAAAACACAGACTGCATGTCCGTGGCTGAGGAAGGAAAACTTCGCAGAAAGAACAGAATCAGTCAAAACTACATCTTTTTACTAGGGTGACGTCATGCTAACAGAATACACGCAAATGAAAACTAACATGCATCTGAATTACTGCTGTAAAAACCACCCATTTCCTAGCTCAAAAACTCAAGCTGTGTTTATTCAGCCCTAGACTGTGTTAACAGGCACACAAATAACAGAAAGTGCTCTTTCCCTCAATTATAATACTATTTTAAAAATAATTTTCAGACACAGCTATGCCAAAATACAACCTATACACCAACAGAAAAGAACCTAATAAAACAATTACTTGGTATATGCTCCACCAGTGTACATATAATGCTACATTTCTAATAGTTTTATAATCTGTGACCTTTGTGTTGTGCCTTCACTATTGAAACCGGTACTGTCACCTTCAGCTACTCTCATGTGTTTAGAGCCCTGGAGACTCAGCTTCAGAGGTGGTTAAACTCAGTTTTGCAAACATGGGTCCCTTCACCTCTGCAACATCATGTAGAACCAGTGACAGAACCTTTCTGTGCACGTGCCTGACACAGAAAAAGTCCAGAACACAGCACTTATCTGCTAGGAGGAAGAAAGAATCTTGCTTCCCCATGGCCTCAAAATGAGCGGAGTTTAGTGGTAAACTGGCACCTCATATCAGACAAAACAGCTTCTAACTAGGACTACAGAAATGAAATTTACAAATATCAAAAAGCCAAATACACAACGGCCCCCAAAAGCATTAGCTCTAGATGCTTGAAGCCTGCCATCCTTCAGCGTCTAAGATTCCTAAAAGCCTGTCGCCAAGTCCAGCTCCTCAAACAGGTAGTAAACCCGGTTCTATAAATTCACCAATACATGCATTTAAAAATTTTTTACCATGTCTGGAGTTATGTTGTTCTTTATGTATTGAGAGAACTGTTTCTTGTAAGCATCCTCGTCCTCTTCAATCAGGTAACGCATATAATCTGCAACGTTCTGCCCCATGATGTGCTTTCGGTGAACCTCAGCGTTGAATTCTTTGCTTTCTGAATCATAACCAGGGAATCGTTTGGTACTGAAATAAAGTTTTTCGTATTTTAGTATACATTGGTTGAAATCAGTTCACTAGCAGGAATTCACTTCAGTAGCTGCCATCAGTCCCGTCTTGAAACAATTAATTGCATCATATGCAACCAAAGGACCAACTTATTGACTGCTCAGTTAGTGGGATATCATCATCCAGCAGCTGATTTCTTAATTTCAGGATAGAAAATCATGCCACAAGCACCTTTAAAAACCATTAATGAACCAAGACTTACCACTGTCAAGTTCTCCATATTCCACAGGAAAGGGTTTCAAAACTACTCCCCTAAATCCCAGATCTCTCAGTGGTACCTCAGTGCGCACTGAGTGGTTCGGGTCCCAACAGGTGCCTTGCAAGGGGACTGCCAAGCCCCCACGCCAACTAAAATGCCCTCCCACTACATGTGATAAAAGTAAGTTCCAGTTAGGTGACACTTTATTGCTTACCTCCCACCCACCAAAAATGGCAAGCCAGAAAAAAAAATGTGGTTGTCAAATTACCAACCACTAAAACATTTCTAAGAAGCTAATAAATCTTAAGATGTATCTACTTGGGGGGTGAGGGAGTACAGCCCGTGGTAGAGCATGTGCTTGGCATGCACAAGGTCCTGGGTTCAACCCCCAGGGTCTCCGTTGGGGGGGGGGCAAAAAAAAAAAGATGTTATCTACTCAGCAATAACAAAAATCATTAACTCAAGCCAAAGGAACAACAAAGTTAAACCTGCTTGTTAGCTACCAAGAGCAGCCTGCAGCCTCAATTCCAGTTTAAGTTTACAAATCTTTCCCAAACTTCCCCCACCCCAGAGTCCATATTTTCCCATAACTCAGTAACCAATTTTCATTCTGAATTAAAAAAAAAAAACAACCCCGAGGGGAGTGGTGGTGGTGGAATTGTGTTGCTCATTTTTAACCAGAGCTCAGCCACACACAAAAGGTAGTGGCTTCAATGCTAGCTTTTCCACTTACTGGCTCTAGAACCTTGGACAAAGCATTTTACCTCTGAACTCGTCTCTTCACTTGTCAAACGTGTTACAACAGTTCCTTCCCACCCTGGCGGGTTCCTTTTGCACAGCACCTCGCTACTGCAGGCACATAACGATGACTACCAGTTTAACTGATTCAGTTATCTCCACAGCCCAGGTAGAAACAGTGCAGAATCAGAGTCCCGGCAGGGAGGCCTTGAACATTACCTGTGGGGGATAGACAAGCCTCCATCTACGGCTCCCTTCAGCGCCCCAAACACTTTATTTCCAGTAGTAGTTCTGGCAAGCCCTGCATCCAAGTAGCACGTAAAGGCACTGGGTTGACCATCAATGCTTTCCACGTTGTATTCATCTCCAGTCACCTCCACTTGGCCTTCATAAATCTTGTCCATACCAAACCTATTGAGAAGCTATTAGCAAAGAAGCCAGTCTAAATGTTTGCCCAAACATATTTAACAACTTTAACAGTATCTCGAAAATCACAACTTTAATGACCTGACAGAAAATTTCACTTTTCCCTTTATCCCAATCTAGTTTTAAATATCAATTTTTAATTGCTACAAAAAAAATTTCAGACATCCAGTTTCACCCACAACCACAGCAACTGTGTAACAGTTTCTGAACCTGCTACTTGGTCCACACCTGACTTTTGTACCAAGTGGGACACGAGACTTAAACCTGATTCTCTTACTCTTGGGGGGTGATCTCCCCACGTCTTCAGTTACATTTGGCTGTAATTCAACAAGCAAATATTAAATGTTATCACATGCTGTTCTGCTTAATTTGCTTAAAATATTAGGAGTAGGAGTGTGTGCTGAAGAGGAAACCTTCCGTGGCTCTACGCTGCCACCTCCTCATGCTCACACAAGCTACCCTTCTGCTAGTACTTGTCATCTAGCTACTGCTTCCCCAGTAGTGCCTTTGCACCGAGATGCTCACCAATAAAAATGTTCCCCACCCAAACACGTTGATAACCAGTGAATACGTGGGTCCCAACAATGATGCATGCTTAACAATTCACTGCAAATCAATGTCCATAACCAACAAAAGGCAAAGATCACGTTTTCATCTCCCTTCTGCATGTTATAGGAAATGCTGCCACCCAGAGGCAAGTATTAAAACAAAAACGAAATCCCCCACAAATGCCTGCCCCAGCCCCCAAAATTTCAGACACTGCTTCTCAAAATACAGCATGCGTATAAATCACTCGGATATAAATTCTAAGGCTCTGGAGTCGAGTCTGCATTTTTAATGGACGCTGACCATCAGAAGATCTACACTTCTGCACACATCTGTCCAACTAGCCACAAGGGGCTATTCACATTTAATTAAGTTAAAAACTCGGTTCATCAGTAGCACTAGACACATTTCAAGTGCTCAGCAGCTACATGTCGCGCATGACTATCAGATCAGACAGCACAGAGTACATACAGGTGGCCATCACTGCAGACAATTCTGTTGGTCTGGATACACCCGACAAACGGCAGAAACCAGAAAAACGGCTTCCCC